CATATATATATATATATATATATATATATATATATATATATATATATATATATATATATAGATAGATAGATAGATAGATATAGATATATATAAGTGGAAAGTCATGTCATATTGCGACCATTCAAATTTTTTATTTCAGTATTCAAATCCTTTATTATTTAAACATTAACTCATTCATTATTTTTAGTGTGACTTGTTCGATATGAATTTTTCTAAAATTTTTAAGATAGATAAAGAAGGAGCATGCTGGATGTAGAAGGTGATGTCTACTTGAACAATGGTCTTTTTTTTGTTAAAATTTCATTATGTGCTAACTGAAGTCTGAAGAAGTATATTTTTCCGTGAAGTAAAAGAACTATATTTTTTCAGGTTCAGTTGCAGAGCAGGTTATGCTTCTCGAAAATATAGGAACATCTGTGCTTGTTTCTGAAAAACAGGTTCTCCCCTGCTCTCATTACCAATAGAAATAAGTTCTTCCTTGGAACATTAATGATTGAAAATGGAATATTTGATTGTTTCTTTTCTACAAACTTTATCCTACTTGTTTTGAAACAAGGTGTGCTTCTAGTTTAGTGAGTGCTTTAAGAAGTTTTGGATCTTCTCCTTCCACGTTTTCTTTAGAACTATTGCATTCAATTTCTTTGCTCATTATGGGTATTTAAGTGAAATCATCCCACGGAGATGCTCTAATTGGATCACTGATTGATTTCTAGGATTCCTCATAAACCCTATTGGGGCCTTTTGTCTAGCACAATATACTATAATAGTTCTTCTAATGATGTGAAGCTGGTTACAGAAAAAGAATCTTAATTTCACTTGTTAGAAAAGCGAGGAGAGAGAATCATTTCAATTCATTCAATAATCAGCATAGTTACAAGTCATAAGCCCTTTTTTATATAAATAGAGCAACAAAGTTGAGACCAAAAAAATTAAAAGCAAATTGAATCAAACTAAAAGCTAAATCAATGCCTAATAGTTCGAATTTAAAGCTTAGAGTCATTTTTTAAAAAAATTGGTCTCTAGTGGAGGAGATGAAGTTATTTCATCACATCTCTTAATTCTTCAACATTCAAAACTAGATTTATAAATTAGATTTTTGTGGCTTCAGATTCCCTCATCTCATCGCTTCTTACATGCTGCATAAAATATTATAGTCGTGATATCAAGTAATCTTGTGTAGTTATTGAGGAATCAAATAATAATTTTAAACTTAAGGAATCGCCTGTATCTCTCAAGAACAATCTAGCAAGAACATTGAAATGGTAGATCAATAAATTTCTTATTCTCAATAATGATGGTAATAAAAGGTAGTGGCATTTGCATACATACCACCCAATTCTTTTTTATTTACATTATCTAACACCTAAAATTTACTTTTTACATTTATACCATCCAAATCTTTTGTATCACATAAAAATATCACTATTTTGACTTTAAAATGTAAAATACACATTTTCATCCATAGCTTAGGTGACATATTATAAAATTTAAGTTTAGGTGTTAGATATGTAAATACATCAAAATTAAGTGCTATGTATGTAAATCTTCCTAGAAGATATCTCGTCTTAGTTTCATTAATAAGCTTGGACAATCTCAATTTTTTGCAAAGGAATAGCTTTAAACACATGAGGATTAGAATCGCAGGATGCTTGATTACTGATGATTGAGCATTATTCTGAAGTTCATATGCAGCACCTGGATCTTTGCAATAATAATCTATACAGCTTAATTCTTCACGAAGATTATGTTTCTGGATTAGTGGAAGTGACCCAAATATTTTATCTTCTAGGGATGACACTGGCTTCTAAAACTTTTGTCGTTTGAAAATGAACATATATTATGATCTATCATCATGATAAAATTGCTCTGACATGTAATTGATGGTACGATCTTATGCGTAATTACCATATTATCTATAAAAATGATATTTATATTCTTCGTGAGATTCAATATGATATGGTTCATTTTATCTATAAGATTAAGATATGCTATCATATGTATAATTGGAAGAGCCATTTGTAAGATAATTGAGCGGTTCTTTAGCTCATCAAAACTCTTTTAGTGGTTTGTCCAATTATTATCCTTGTCGGAATCGTATTGATTATTTTTCATTCTTAAATACTTACTATCTTGATGAAACATTCGAGTAAAATTATAACATCAATTCCAAATTCAGTAATGAGAATTTTGTAATTCCACAAGAGAATTTTTGGTATATCTTCTAGCTATCCTGTATGCATTATACATGACTCAAATTTTATTTGGATTGATTACAATTGCCCTATATAATTTGAAATTTAATCTAATCTCATCCTAAATAATTTAAACTTAAACCTTAGATTATCTGAAATATAATTTATCACAATTGTAAAATAAAATACATCTAATAAATTCAGATATCCATATCAAGTAAAATAATTTTCAGATTCTAATAATACTTTAAACTATTTTGGTTTTACCAATTCTCCATTTTTTTTGTAACTAAAATGATTTTGCATTTGAGTATTACTGCAAGTGATTAGGCTATTTAGATATTGTTATAACTTTATCCAAAAACATTAATGGTTTGATCATGGCATTAATATTATGGTGCTGCTTAGTGAGAAACTAAGTTTCATTCATTGGAATTACTTAATTTTCTGCTCTATTAGCTATTTTTTATCGTACTAATTGTTGATTTGGAGTTATCATGTTTTGCTTTCAGCTATCTGATATTTATCTGCTGTTGGTGGAGGCTGCCAAGGTATTAAACATAGAACCTCCTGATCTGTATCTCCGTCAAAATCCTGTCCCAAATGCATATACTTTGGCAATCAGTGGCAAAAAACCATTCATTGTTGTCCATACAAGCCTTGTAGAGCTTCTTAGCAGAAAAGAGTTGCAGGTATTTTTTGTTCTAGCTGCTTTGCTTTAAACCCTAGATTTGTTTAGTTTGTGTGGAGTTGAATAAATGAGTTGGTATTTTTTTTTTCTCACTTGTGGGGCATTGGTTGTCCTACTTTTATTTTTGGTTTTTGGTTAATTTTTCATTATGTTAATATTCTACTCTATTGAAGAAGCAAATTGATGGAAATTTAAAATTTTAATTTGTTATAAATATATGATATGTCACGTCCCAGTGCGGAAGTTTAGAATACTGAAACGGGAGCTGACGGTCAAACACAAAACACAAAAAATTACTTAATTAGGTATTCTTTAAAATTTTAATAATATATAAATCTCTGTTACAGAAAAGAGCCAACTATATTCAAAAGGTTTTAAAATAAAAAATATTTTTAATTTAAATTATTTTTCATATTTACAACTGATTTAAAAAAGAACTTATTATATTACCTATCTTATGGGCCCCGATCTTTTAGGTAAAATTTTTTCTATTGTCCATTCAACTTGAAGGAGGTTCACCTAAAAAAATTCATCAATTATTCTCCAAGTTAAAATGGCTTGGTGGTGGTTATGTTTCTAAATTATACTAATTCAAGATTTTAGAAAAAACTATGCAAAAGTAGAACAGTGTATATTAATATATATAACTCAATTTTCTTGTTAGACTGTTCTTAATTTATTTTATTTTATCATATTATACAACTATCAAACTCAATTTCTAAATAGGGCGCAATAGAGAAAAAATATTCATGTAGCCGACCCCACATAGTGGGTTTAAGGCTTTGTTGTTGTTGTTGTTGTTGTTGTTGTATATGTATTATACATCTATCACACAAGTCACTAACACATTCTTTCAATAATCTTTTGCAAAATCAACCTAAAAAGATATATTGATATCGAAGTTAACCTATAACACAATAGGAAAATTAAATATTATTACTTAAAGCAAATAGGCGGTTACAAGCTTTACACTTGAAAGTGAAATTACAACAATACGATATCGAAAATTTGAAATAGCAACAAAAGTGACAAACACTCAAACTAGTGCGGATCCCGGGGTGATGGTGGTGGTTGACGAGAGTTTGAAAGGTGGCACGGGGGTCGAAAAAGTGGCTGGCAAGCAGGAAATAACAAGACATTTGTTTCGCTTGTGCCAGACAACGAACAAACAACCAGTTGCGATGTGGAGGGCTGCCTGGAATGATAGAAGTAAAGGAGGGTTGAAAAGGACGCCACAGTAAATAGGAAGGGCTAGCAACAACGGCAACGAAGTTGGAGGCCTGGGTTGGACAGAGGAAATCTGCATGAAAAATGGCAATCGTGTTGTTCTGGGTGGATGCAACGATGGTGGGCGATCGTGAGCGATGTTGGGAGGATAAGGAAATTAATCATCACTTGGAAAGCAAGGTACAACCAAAGCACCATCTGGAATTCTAGGGTACAACCCTCAAAGGGAAGAAGAGACGGTGGAGGCTGTCCTGATACAAAACACGCAAAAAACTAACTCTAGACTCATATGAAAACAAATATATAATAAGAGGGTGACTAGGAGTGGCTCAAGAGAACCGAACGACTCTTCGAAAGGGAGAGAACCTGGACCGGTTCGATCCGAGCAAATCAGGCTTTTCACTGCTTTGTTTGATGGACTCCGGTGTCGGGAAGAGGTGTGCTTCCACGTCATTCTCCCGGGATTGGGGGAGCTTCGACCTCATCTGTCATAGCTTCTATTTTTTTATAGTATGACGTCAAATTGACCTTATTGAAGACAATGGAATTGGCATAATCTACTGTTAAGTCAGTCTTATCATGCCAGAGCACATCCTGATAAAATATGTATCGATCTTCTTTTGGCACAATTTGAGCTTGTACTATAGATAAACGAGTATTCTCACGAATCAGGTTTTGTGCCACTACATTTGTAAACTGGTTCCTCCACTTCTTGTGCTCCATTGGACGTATTTGATAAATAAGTATGTGGAGAGGAATCAACCGTGGGACGAAATCTATGGCAAAATGAACCACACTCATTAGCAACCTCTGGAGAGATATCTTATTCTTTTCTGGTAGAACTTGGACTCGAGTGCTAGATTTCTCTCTTGCTAGCTCCTGAAAAAAATTGCAACGCTGTGTTTCGTCCCTCTTGTCTGGCCATCTGTTGGTGGGTACACCGGTGAAATGAATTTAATAACCAATTGACTCCATATGGTCTCCCAGAAGTTTCTCATCTCTAATAGGTTGGACTTCCCTCAATAGGATTAATTCAGATGGTAGGCTGAAATTCTCTTATTTGAGGTTGCCCTGTGTCTAGTAACTACTCCTCAAACTCATGGTTATTTTGGGCATCCAATTCCAGTCCTATTGTTGCCCCCTTCAATGCCTACAAAAAAATAGTTTTGAGACACTACAACCTCACACTTTGTATGAACGCACATTACTTCAAACTCGCTACCTTCTAAAATAACTATTGTCAACTCAACTGAAATCTCTCTTGATTTTAACTAGAATCGATGGCGTTTCTTCCTTATTGGTTGGCAGTTGGTATTTCTTTTCTTTGTCTTCACTTTCTTCAGTGTCTACTATGTCATTACTCATTTCTTAAACTTGCTTAATGAAATAGATCATTCCTCTGGTTATACAATTTGATTCAATATGCCTAAATTTGTGGCACTTGAAACACTTTTTGGCTGAGACAAATTTATGAATATTGGTTCACTCACTCTATTCTCTATGAATCAGTTTTTCTTGAGACAGGTATGTCTAGATATTTTCTTGGGTTTACTCTGGCTATAAGATCATGGGGTTGGACCCTGCCTGTAAGATGTGATAGTCTTCCGGTGATGTGATCTCTTCACTTCTAAAACTGAGTTTTAAACTGACAAATTTATGAATATTGGTTCACTCAGTCTATTCTCTACTCTGAATCAGTTTCTTTGAGGCTGGGTCGGCTGTAAGATCATGGGTTTGAACCCTGCCTGTAAGATGTTATCTCTCAACTTCTAAAATTGGGATCTGAACATTCGGTCGGTAGTGAGCTGGTAGGTACTGGCACTGCATCTCACGTTTCATCTCGTAATCTTGTTTTTTTCCCTCATGTTGGCATACATACTTCAAATTTTTCCACCATGATAATGCACTATTTTTTAAATTGCTGGCGACTAGTTTCACCATTCACCTCGTTCAAACGTCCTTGTACTCAAAGAAAAGTTCCACGGTCTGAAGCAACTCGATGAACTCGTCCGGATCCAATTGATTGTCAAAATGTGGCAAATCCACCGTTGCCACAAAATTCGGACTTCTCAGATACTTCAGGTCAATTTTTCGGGGTAGGTGCCTTCATCTTTGAAATACCTTACAAACACTTCACCTCTGTATCTTCTAACATGCACTTCGTCTCTGCATCGTCTGATAGACACTTCAGCTTTTTAATTGAATGGAGTTTGGGTGGCCCGAGTAGATTGTCTCATTTCCTTAATTTTATCAAGCTGTTGTAGCACTTGATGGAGGATTGATTGTATCTATTCCATGATAAATTCTTGATTGGCATCTGACACTTGTCTCGGTGGTATAATTTTATTTTTGGTGTGGGTAGGTGGAAGGAGGTGTGTACGGGTGATGTGGAATGGGAAAAGAAAATTTAGAGGGTGTGGTGATACGTTTGGGTTTAGGATTAGACTAGCTCAGATATCAAATGATACAAGAGTTAATCAATAACACAATAGGAAAAAAAATATTATTACTAAAAGCAAATAGACGGTTACAATTAACACATTTGAGATGAAAAATACAATAACATGACGCCGTGAATTCAAAATAATAACAGATACAACACACTCAAACTAGGGTGGATACCGGGATGGTGGTGGTTGTTGGCGAGAGTTTGGAAGGTGGCGCAGGGGTGGAAAAGGCGGTTGACAAGCATAAAACAACAAGGCAACTCTTTCGTCGGTGTGAATAACAATCAAACAACAAGCATACACTAGGGAATTATGTGGGAGGGCTGTCCGGGGTTCTGACAGTAAGGAGGGAGGGCTCAAATGGTGGCAGAAGCAAAGAGCAAGGGTTGTACAGCAGCGGTGGCAAAAGTAGAGTGTTGAAACTACAATGACAGTGAAGAGGAAGGGCTGGACAGGGGAAATCTGTAGGAAAAACAGCAAACGAGTGTTGTTCTGGGTGGTTGTAGCGATTAAGGGCAGCCGAGAGCGGCATTGGGAGGATGCAAAATAGGATAAGGAAGATAATCGCTATTTGGAGGCCAAGATATAGATGAAGCACCATCCCGATACAAAACAAACCAAAAACTAACCCTAAACTCGTACAAAAACAAATATATAATAAGAGGATAACTAAGAGTGGCCCAAGAGGACCGGCCGACTCCTCGAAAGGTGGAAAACCTGGACCGATTCTGTCAAGGTGGAGCAAACGAGTCGTTTCTTTGTTTGCGCAACTCCAGCGTCTAGAACAGTGGCTCTTCCACGTTGTACATTCATTTCCCTTTTCATTTACCGCATCCCGTCATAAGGGAGTGAGCTCTATCCTCCAAACATGCATACACAATCATATATATATCATTTGTATTAATCATATCATGTACTTGTGAAAAAATCATATAAGATTTAAAACAAAAGGTACTGATCATTATTTATATAAAGATCCAATAGTAACTAGATATATTTGATCTAGGAGAATAAAAAATAATTTTTATAAGAAAGAAACTTAATTATCCACCTAATTTAGAAGGTTTGTGTGTCCTCGCCGCGGCCTCGCTAGCCACATGTTTGTTTTACATTGATTTTATTTTTCTTCAAATAAAATAAAAAAAGTGAAGTGATGCATTTAATTTAAGATTGAACTAAACAAATTCAAAATATTTCCAATATAATACATTACTTTTACACTGCAAGAAGAACAAACAACAACTTACGTGGAGAGAATCGAAGATCAAGGTAACTTTTTTGGTCTAGTAGATTGGGCTCTTTTCTTCCTTTTTTAAGATTTATTTCTAATATAAATTGCAAAAGTAACCTGATTAATTAAAACTCTTAATGCAGTTTTTTTATCAATAAAAACCCAAAATTGAATTAGGAAGTTTGCAAAATATTTTAGAAGCCATCTTGACTTCGATTCCAACAAATTTATACTCGAGACTTAGCATTTCAACTAGACAGTTCCCAAGATGTTAAAATTCTGTGGTTTTGAGCACAATTCGCCTCTAAATTGGGCTGAACCAGACTGACCTTTGGGACTGACCGGCCTCCCTTCCCTCTTTTGCAAATATAGCAGTGTTTTATTGTATGTTGTCATATATTGTACCAATTTTAGCATTACATGTTGTTCAACTATGGATGTGTGAGCAGATTTTTTTACTCATGTCCGTTTAGATTTAACTTGTATTGTTAGGCTGTTTTGGCTCATGAACTTGGCCATTTGAAATGTGACCATGGCGTGTGGCTTACTTTTGCTAACATCTTAACACTGGGAGCTTACAGTGTACCTGGTAGGTTTTTAACATTCTTCTTTATTATTAAGGGATTGAATATAACCTTAGGAAGATTTAAATGCATACCACTTAATTCCTATGTATTTACATATGAAACACCTAAACTTGAATTTTTACATACATGCCATCTTACCTATGTATGAGAAGGTGCATTTCACTTTTTAGAAGTTGAAATAGTGTTATTTTTTATGTGATATGAAAGATTTGGGTGGTATAAATGTAAAAAAGAAAGTTTAGGTTTAAGATGCGTAAATACATAGGAACTGGGTGGTATGTATGTAAATCCCCCGTAGACTTAAGCTTGCATACTTGCAAGTAATACTGAAATACCACGGCCTTTATGTTCCCAGGATTTGGTGGGATTATAGCTCAGAGGTTGGAAGAACAGCTATTGAGATGGCTTCGAGCTGCTGAACTGACTTGTGATAGAGCTGCACTTCTTGTTGCTCAAGATCCGAAGGTATGTTATCTATATTTGTGGTAAATGGTCAGTTTTGTTAAAAAAAAAAAAAAAAAACATTGTGTTATTTAGTGCAACTACTTGACATCGTAAATTATAGCTTAAACCCTGCAGACAGTTCTATGGAGAAGATGTTGAAAGCAGGACAAGGTGAGTTAATTACTATTAATAAGGAGTAAAATTGTTGGGAGTTAGCTGGGCTTTATGATGGAAAAACATTCTCCCCATCTTAAAAGGGGCGGTGTTATCAAAAAAAATTATTTTGATTATTTTGATTCATTTGGGTAATTAATTGTTTATTGCTTATATGTAAACACACAATTTTGATGATCAAACCTTTGGTTTGATCTTACTTAATTTTCCTTCACTACATGAACTCATTATAGATTTTCAGCATGATTTATGAATTTATTTTATTAATGTTTTTTATTAGTTGGACCGATAACGAGAGAGTTCAGTTTGAGTAATCATCAAAACTATCAAGTTATGTTTGACTCAAATTTGACTTGAATTCTATTTAGTTTTTAGTAAATCCAACTTAACTTGATTTTGCTTGATTTCAATCTGGGTCATAATTAAAATTAAAAAAGATGTTGGGATAGGGATTTGTCACACCCCAACTGACCCCCCTTTCGGGTCAATCACGGTGCGACAGAGGCGGACGATTCAGTCATATTAAATTCTCACCAGCATTCTTCTTGACTTGCATGATCAGGACATAGGTGATGAACAAGTCTAGCTAAATCACCACAAAGATTCATAATACATTTTATTTTATAATCTATTCATGTTCACATATATTTGTAGGCGTGGAAAAATCATATCACACACACACACACGCACACGCGCACACACACGCACACACACGGAGTTGTTAAATCCAACATAATAAATTATGTACCAAAAAATATGTATAATCTCTGAAATTATATATTACAAAAGTTGTACATATCACACCTGACCACTCGCCCTGATGCTCATCACCCTTTCCTAAAGTTAACAACATTGAGTGAGTTACAAGTTCAATGTAATAATCAAGACTAAAGAAAAATTTTATAGGTAGAAAGAAATAACGTGCATGATTATATGCAACTCATGTACATGTCCATAATACATATCACAACATGTTATAATCATATAAAACATGTAAAAGAAAAAAACATGTAATGCGGGGAATCATGAAAGTTGTATAAACATATATTTCATTCATCATGTGTAATCATAAGCATTTTCATAAGAGTCTTCAATTTAACCATTTGAATGTCATTTATAATTTTATACGCCTCAACTATTCTCTTGTTGTGCTTGTGGGTAGTCGCCCAGCCTGGATGTTACATATTATTTATAAAAGTTGGACTCCTCACAACATAGCAGTTTTCAGTTAATGCTTAGTATTAAAGGTTCCCCCTTTTTATTCTCGTCTGATACCAACGGTTCCTGGAGTTTTATTTCCATCTGAGTACTAGAAGTCGTGAATCTCATATTTCTCTATTATTCGTACTAGTAAGCATTCATGTAATAGTCTACCTAACACAACACTTGTGACATTGCTATAATTTTAGTTCTTGTGATAATCAATGATAGACAATGCATAATCATGTGCATAATTAAAATGATAAGAATATCTGCAAACAAATATTTCACAATATGCTCATCACATCAATTTCATAGGAAAATAATAATCATGGCAGAACCAACTAGCATTCACATAATTGTGTGCATGTATCCTTCAATATATAAAAATTCTAAATGCATTCACATATTTAAAAAAATCATATCAAATCCTAAAAAAAATATATTACTCTTAAGTTAACACATGATTATTTCACTTGAATCAACGAAACAACCTTACGACGAGTTTCTCCAGGCTCGCCTAGAGCTCACCGCTTAGTATAAACAACTTGGAACTCATAAACCTCTTAGGATTTTCATGAATTTTTTTGACCTATATTGTGATTTAACCCCAACATAACTCATTTATGAATTCTTATCTCAAAAAGGCTTCTCGGCATGACTAATCCCTTTCTTTGATACTTTTTATTCCTCTTCCCTCATTTATGACTTTTTATTCCTCATGAAATGGATCTACTTGAGTAGCTCTCTGTTCGACAGTCTCGTGGTTGTTCTTGCAAAGTTATAACATGAAACATGGAATGCCTAAGGAATGCCCGAAATATCATGAAAGAGGATTTTTTACATTTCATTCTCTCTGAAACCACAAATTAGAGCTTGTGGCTCCCTACATGTTGTCAGTTTTGCTCGAACCTGCTTGTGCTACAGGAATCGAGCCGCATGTCTTGTGGGAAGATAAAATCAAAAGCAACGAGGAAATCGTCGCTCACTATGAGCTAAGCTATGTGATTGCATCCCACAACTAATAATTACGTGAATAGGTCGTTGGAAACAGTAATCTAAGTTTAATGAATAAATCAAATGCTTAATTAAACTTAATTAAGTTTTTAATTTCAAACTTATATCTTTGCATGCATTTGTAATTCATGCAGGGTGTTATATATAAATTGATCCATTCAACATGTAAAATTTTATAAAATTATTTCGATCAAACTTTGGGGAATGCTAAATTTGTGGTATACTTTAAAATTATCAAAATTTTCACCCACTTTTACAAAATTGGGTGTTACAAGATTAACCGCTTATAAGCATCATTAAACATTTAGTGATTAACAATATAATTAATCTTTATCTCAATTGATTTGGGTATTCATTTTATTATTTTTAACATAATTTTTATTATTTGTTGTAAACCTAACATCAACTCTCAAACTTTCTTATCCAAACTATGATTGGCAATTATAACTTATTTACCAATGAACCATTAGTAATATATTTACCCAGCTACCCACTTTTAAGAAGTTTCAAGTGGTGGTGAGCATCACAAGAAAGGTGATTGTGGGCTCCCAAACTTTGCTGCCTGGCCCCTGGAAGATGAATGAGAGAGAGAGAGAGAGAGAGTTTGTATCGAGTGTTTTGAGTCAAATTTTTCATAAGTTAGATGAGATAGTAGACAAGACACACCCCAAAGATATTACCCTCTTTTTGAGAGGACTTTAAAATTTGGGACTTGAGGTTTCTCATAAGTGCAAACTCCTATAATTAATTATCTCTCTCGATAATGAGGAATCACTTACAATTAAGAATGATCATTAGAGTGCTTATTATCCAATGTGTAATAGTAACAAATTTATGATTTAACTTACAAATTTATTAATATAAGCTTAGAGCGAATGTTTGGGGGGAATAATGAAACCGATCAAAATATCATGGTTTATTCGCGTCAGGTTGTCATGGATATTGGTTTGCTTAGTCAAAGGAGCTAGTTGATCTAAACTGATAATAGAATTATTATCAGCAATCATTGGTTGGTTCTTATAAGAAAATCTTGCAGAACTGGGACAAATGTTTATCTAAAAAGACAAATTTAAGTCAGCTTTAACTGAGAAATGACTGAAACGATTCATAGCTCAAAGTCGCAGGGAACAATTGAGGAGCATATGGGCTACAATCATATTTTTAATATAGTGGAGCATGTTTAGCCAAACCACATTTCTAGAGGGTTTTGGTCGTAATTATTTCATCTGTGGAGCAATTATGTCAATTCACGCAAACAAATGACTCAAGCCACGTTCTTAATGACGTGGCTTATTTTAAGTGTAACAACATATTTAATACGCATTAACGTCATGTGAGCTTAGGTTAAAGTTGAATTTGCCACCCTCGAGTAATCATTGCAGATGGTGGATGAATTTTTTTTTTCTTTAGCTTTACATATGATAAAATCTCTTTTAAGTATTTGAAGTTGTAAATTTAAATGTTTATTTTTAAAAATAGATTCCTCATATTAAAATTTACATTCATCACAGTCATCATCGAGGTGTTTATTTGGAACTCTTATATTTGTGGTTTAGAATAGGGACTTTAAAATATAAATCCCTCAAGTTGAGATTCACAATCAACGCAATTGTCATCTACCAGTGAATTATTTGGAGTATTTTGATTTGTCATTTGTTTAATCAAATATCATTTAAACATCATTAAAAGAATCAGTCATGTTCACTCTAGTTCTCGTGATGAGGTGGAGTGGACTCAGAGATTGAGACTTAATCTCGTCAACTCTGGTCCCTATGATGTGAGGCTTATGATCATGCCCTACAGGTAAGATGACCTGCTCGAAAACTTGTATATGTTAATGATTTAGGATTTGACATTAAACATGCTTGCATGCTTCTTGATGCGAATTGCATTTTAGTTTAAACTTGTGTCCAACCTACACAAACATTCTCAGATTTTTGCCGTAAGCAGCAAAGAGTGAGGATGGAGAGTTCGGCTGGTTAGATTGGAGCGGGAGTAGGTGTGGAGTTGCAGGGAGGAGAGCAAGGAAGTATGGGGGATTTTGGCTTGTATGTGAGCGGAGCCACAGGATAGTTGGTTGGATCACATGAGCAGCAGAGGTGCAGGCACAGTGAAGGGAAATGGGCGATGCTCAATCTCTGCGGCTGCGAACAACACGCTGTTGGGCCGTCGGCAGGCTTGACGGTGGCTTGGTAGTTACGGAGCTGTGTAAGCGGGCATTCGTTTCTGGCCTAAGGATTTGTGCTTTGCCAAAGGAGAATGAGATTGAAGGTGGGTGTGGGCATGAGGGCAGGTGGAGAACTGGAGGTGAGAATGGAGGGCTCTCATGAGTGAGATGTGCGAAGGAAGAGAGGGAAAGTTCATGTGTGCCTTTGGTTTCTTGTGTAGGAGATGGGAAGAGTATGGAAGAAAAGAGGTCGACGGGATTTATACGGGCTTACATTGGGATTTTCTATCTTTTTTCTTCATTTTTTTATTTGTTCATGCATCACATGTTTGATGTGGTGGCGAAATAGACATATTTGAGTGGCGCTTCGGTAGAAATAGGAAAATTATATTATTTTATCTATTTTAATATATAAAAAAATTAAAGTGTTGCTGAGATGAGAATGCGTAGGTGGATGAGTGGCTTGACACTTAGAGCAAAATACGAAATGAATATATCTGTGATAGGATTGGTGTAGCTCCAATGACGGACATGATTTGAGAGAGTTGTCTTAGATGGTTTGGTCACTTTAAATGTTGACCATCTGATGATCCTGATAGGAGAGTATATATTTTAGATTCAATTTATGTTAAAAAAAGCAGAAGTAAACCTAAAAAGACTTGGGCTTATTTTATTAAAAATGATCTTAATCTTTTAGAATTAACTCAAAAAAAAATGACACTCAATAGGACACAATGGAGAAAAAGGATCCATGTAGCTGACCCTTTATGTAATATGAGAATCTCCAAATAAAAAAAAAATAAAGGTGCAGCACTTCAAAGTAACATCATGCACTGGCGACTCATTGCAATATGAAAATCTCTGATAGCTATCTATTTCCATCCAAGAGGTTGTCATCTCTGTTCTGATGAAACTCGCCGGAGGATCTCCTTCTCTTTCAAACCAGCTAAATGTTGATGCTTTCTTGGAACAAGCTCGTTCATATGACAAGGCTTCTTCAAGCCCATTTGGATGGTACATAAGGTTAGTATCATGGAATCCATTACCCCAAAGCGATCACATTATAACATTTATTTGTGGAAGGTATAATAAATGTAACCATGTTTGGTGTCATCTCGTTGGTTGTAATTAAAAATAAGATTTAGAAAATAATAAAATAATTAAATTTGAAGGACTTTTTGTACTTCAAACTCTTCTGTATTTTTTTATTAAATTATTTCCCATCCCATCCAATCATAATAAAATCTTGAAAGATTTGTATGCATGCCACACAATTTCACTATTTTTACATCTCTAACATTTAAATTTGATTTTTTACATGGGAAATTTACATGCGTTCCACACAATTGTTATGTTTTTACATATCTAACACCCAAATTTTGATATTTACAGTTACAACACCTTGGTGTCATTATCCTATGCATGGAAAGGTGTATTTCACTTTTAAAAAGATAATAATGGTGATATTTGTGATGTGATGTTAATGATTTGACTGGTATGCATGTAAATATGAAGTGTTTAGGTGTTAGCATGTAAATAAATAAAAACTGTGTGGAATGTATGTAAATGCCCCTTTTTTACATTTAATAGCTCTTTATATACATACATGAAATTTTATGTTATATGAAAGAACCCAGTGTTATAATATGAAAAACAACAAAGTCTAGGCGTTAGATTTGTAAATACATTCGAATTGAGATGTATGTATGTAAATGCCTCTAAAATCTAAGAATTAATGTGGATTTCAGGAATGCTCAAACAAGTCAGTTGTCCCATCCTTTGCCTATATTCCGCGCTCGAGAAATAGACGAGTGGTCCAGGAGTTCAGAGTACCAGTCCCTATTACAAAGGGCAATGCAAAATAAACGCTCTCAGAGAGTATAGATTTAACTGCAAACTCCATCAAAGACGGGGCCATGGAGGTAATTATTATGAATACAATAGCTTTTCAGTTCTGTTAATCTGATTCTTCTATAGCTGATTATTATTTTCCATGGTGCAAGGCCTGTGCGTGTATATACACACAACAAAAAATACATCTTCAGATGCTGGGGCACATATATCTGCAGGTTGGTGATTAATATTATAAACATCTCTGCATCGAAAACATATAAATTCTAACATTGTATTGTATCTGAGAAAAATGTCAAAATGGTCCCTGACTTTTTATAAATCATCATTTTTAGTCCCAGAGTTTATAAAAGTGTTAAGTGTCCATTCAATCCCCATACTCTTTACATATGGGCTGAAATAAGAGTGGATTAATTTGACGTTTTTATCTTCATAAACTCCAGGATTGAAGTGACCCTAAGTAAATAGTCAGAAGATTATTTTGATACTTTACTTCATTGTATATATATTAACTGCTGTGAGAGTGGTATGTAGATGCAGCTGCTTGATAGCTTTGCCAATATCAAGCAGTGAATGATATGAAATTTCGTTTTGTCATATGAGTGCCTTAGATATGACCTTATGGAGCCAAAATATCTAAAAAATCTTATGAATACCTATAAATTATGTAGGGAAATGGAAAATAAAAAAGGAGATTTATATACATGACATTATTCTTATGTATCTATATATTTAGCACCTAAATTTTGATAAAATCTCTAAATTTAGTGTCGTAATCACATCAATGCATTTGCTTGAAAACTTATCTAATTTTAGAAAAAAATGGCATCGATTATGTTTTTGATGTTCGTTCGAAGCACTTGCTTACATAAAAAGTCGAGTGCTATGTAAATAATTATTAAATTTTAATTGTTAGATATGTAAATACATAAAGTTATGTTGTTTGTATATAAATTCACAAATGAGCGGCTAAGGTTAATATAGGCCATTGATTGGTGGCTATGATTAGCCCTACCATGTAAACTTTCTCAGGGTTTATGTGTTAAACTCATTCTTGTACTTTGTGAAGATGATAATAGGGATAGCTTTTATTTTCAAATGAATCTCTTTTTGTAGATTATATTGTAGGCATATGTAAATGAGCCAAAATAACATTTTTTAAGCTCAATTTATAAATAAGTTGAAAACAAAGAATCATTTGTTTAATCAAGTTTAGCTTGCTTTAGCCTGAAAAAAAAAGATTAAATATATTATTTATATAATAATTTTTTATATCTATTTATAACTCGAATGAGCCTAATACAAGCTAAGACTGAGCTTGCTCTAGCTCGACTCATTTACAACCTAGTTGCATTGATCTGAGCATGTAAGAACACTATCGAAAAATTAAACTTCAAGTTTTACATGTATGTCATTTTATGCATGAAAAGGTACATTTTATTTTTAAATGTTAAAAAATTGATATTTTTGACTTGATATTAAAGATTTGGGCCTTATAAATGTAAAACATTAAAGTTTAGGTGTCATGTATTTAAATACATAGGATTTAGGTGGTATGTATGTAAATCTCCCTAATTTTATTTCACATTTAGGACGTCATAATTTGCTCATTTTTTTTTAAAATTCAGTCTGCTTTCTATGCCACAAGGACGATCAACTCCTTTTTACTGTAACCATAAATCTTAAACGTCCTCGGCAGAGATGGCTCATCAAATTGTGGATAAAGAAAAGTTGAAGCATTATTATAAGGATTGTGAACCTCAAATACTTCTATAATTTAATTCATTAAAATGCGGATGATAAATCACATTTCTAAAGAAAGGCTAGTCTCATCATAATGCTTATGAATATTGAACACCAACCCCTTTTTTTAAAGGAATACTAAAGCAGCTAAATATTTTTCATACGGTAACAAAACGCTAAATGTATTTTAGTGGGTCCTTTTTTAAAAAAGTTATAAATTTATGAGCAAAATGCAAGCGTTTTTGTAAATTTTATTCACTTGATTTAATTTTATTGAAGTCTAGATATAGAGTTGTGTTAGGACTCTGTATGTAAAATTTTCTAATATTGTAGGGATTATAATCTTCGGCTTTCACTCATACTATTTCTACGTTAGTTTTTAGCCTCTTCTTAGAGAAAATTGAAATATATTAAGGAAATTTTTACTTCTTGCTAAATATTCAAGGAAGATAAGATAAGAGAAAAAAATTTAATAATTTTATTAAACTTCTTTAAAGATTTTAAAGATTTTTATGGCACATTGAATTAGGGCTCTCATGACGAACAGCTTGTTCAGCTCATTAAGTAGCTCGTGTTTGACTCGTTCGACGAGCTGAACACGAATAAATTATTTAAGTTCAAATTATAAATGAGCCGAGCATGATCAATCATTGGTTCGCTCGTGTTTGGCACGTTTTAGCTTGAAATAATGAAATCATACAAATTATAAAACACACCGGCCCAATCGGCGTGATCGATAATCTTTTGTCAACTCATCCAGTTGGTCGCACCGACCCGATCATGTTGATCAATCTCTTTCATCATCTCGTCTGCTCGGCCCCACCGACCTGCTCAATCTGACTGATCGTTTATGTCGAATGTTGCAACTTTGCATAATTGTTTCATGTTGTTTGCTTGAATACATTCACACCACACACTTGGTTGTGCATCTATGAGGATGCGGCCCCATATGCTCGCAACAGGCGGTTAATCTCCTCTTTGACACAGTCTTTCGTGCCCATCTCATGACATCCCTACGTCATCGTGCATCACACTTTGTATGTATGCACCTACACTTGTGCACTCTTGTGTGTTAGTTCTCATGGCACTTTGCATATTTATGACTTGTATGCTTGAAGTTGTGTGCATTTGGATTTGCATCATCATACACTTATCCCACACATTCACACATCATGTAACCAGACGGTTTGCACATCAAGCCTACCTGGTGTGTAATTCTCCCCAGTGAGAATTACTTCACCTTCTCTTCTCATGACACTACATTGGACTATCGTAAGTTACCCTCGGATCACTGTCTCCACGACACACCCACCCCTTCGGGTCACCGCCTCCTCAACATACCTACCATTTGGGTCACTGCCTCCATGACACGCCTACCCTCCGAGTCCCTGCCTCCATGTCACTCCCACCCTTTGGGTCAATGCCTCCACGACAGACTCACCCTCCGAGTCGCCACCTTCACGACACACTCGTCTCTACTTGTGTTTTATGATTTGCATCAAAATGCATGCACATTACCGCATTGTCAGAGAATTTATCGTTGGTATAAGTCATTGTATATTAGTGACGAATGCTTGTTATCCCGTGGCATCATCCTACACTGTCACGAGCATGTTCCTTCGCGTAAGGCATGTGTCTATTTGCTTGCTTATATGGTGCATTAGACACTGTTTGTGCTTTCCATTTGCATGTGTGTTTTGGTCATTATTGGGATAATGTGTAAATCTCCCCAGTGGCATCCTATAACTTAGGCAGCCAAATATAATACCACTTGAGTGTCATGCCTTTCATGTGCATCTTTGCATTGTCAGCATATATATACATCGCCGGTATATGCCACCGTATACTTGTGATGAATACTTGATATCTTGTGATCACATCAGCTTCTATGAGGCTGTCACTATGCATTGGACCATTTTGCATCCGCACGTGCATCCTCGATCGTCTCAATGATAAAATGGGCTCATTCGCTGAGTGACTCTCTGTTAATCACGATGCGACAAAGTATTGCTCGCGAGGATCTCTCAGTTATGCGACAACTATACTTGTTAATCTCAATCGGAAAGTTTCTAGGACACCTTCTGATGTTTGAGGGTATAAAAACCAATCTGGAGCAAGTAAAGCCATTCTTGGATATGTCATCTCCTTTGAATACAAAGGAGGTGTAATAGTTGACCATCCGAATAACAACACTTAACATGTTCATTTACAAATTTGTTGAAAAATGTGTCGCTTTCTTCAAAGTTCTGAGGAAGGTCAAGAAATTTGACTGGCCAACCAAATGTAAACAAGCTTTGTAAGGTTTGAGGTAGTCACCAATGTCGCATCTGTTATTGTAGAGTTCAAAGTCAAAGAAGAAATTTCACTATGTATGTATGTTAGCTTGGAAGCCAATAGTTTGCTCTTGGTTCTAGAAGTGCTTGGAAAGCAGCACCTCATCTACTACACCAGTCGAGTCCTCAGGGGAGCTGAGGTCGGGTGCCCAATTATAGAAACGCTAACATTTTCATTAATTCTCTCTGCTAGAAGGCTCAGACCATACTTTCAAAAGCATCTTATCAGAGTAGTTACTGATTATCCACTCAAATACATGTTGATTTGACTGGAACACTCTAGTTGACTTATAAGTTGGCTCGTGGCACTATATCTGTTGCATTCTCTAGATGTTGATTAGTTAACTTCCTGACCGACTTCGTCAAAAATGGTAAACCAAATGAAGTGACTGATGTGGGCAACTAAACATGGACTCTACATATTGTTGGAGCGTCAAATCAGATGAGTGAGGGAATCTGGATGGTTCTGAGCAGTCTGACTGGAGAGAATCTCTATTATTCAATCACCCTTGAGTTTGAAGTTATAAATAATCAAGTTGAATTTGAAGTGTAGACAATCGAAATATGCTTAGCACTGGAAATAGGTGTCTAACATATGTTAGTAAAGTCACATTCCTAGCTGGTTGTGAATCAAGTCAATAGAGACTTTGAAGCCCAAGACGAGATGATGATCAAATACTAATAAAGAGAAATTTACAAACTTTTTTATCGAACACGTTGGACAAGTGGAAAATCAAGTGGATGATCTTCTATCAAAAAAACATTTTTTTTTTTGCAAAAGACTGGTAAGGCTCTTTCAACCGACCATGGAGGAGGTAGAAACAATGGAAGTGAAAGCTGAAGGTGCAAAGAGTTGGGAAGATCCTACATCCATACTTAAAAACTATAAAGATCTTTAAAGAAGAAACCAACTAGAGATTAAAACTCAAAGCTGCATAATATCTATCAGAGATAAGTTTTTTTTAGGTCAACCTAATCCTTGCTTTTGAGGTGCGTGGAAGAATATGAGGTAGAGGAAATCCTCTGAGAGGTACATTATGGCGCATGTGGCAGCCATTCAGGTCGTAAAACTTTGGTGCATCGAGTTATGAGGCAATTCTACTTCTAGTCGACCCTTCTGTAAGACGCTAAATAATTCTTGAGGAGATACAAACAATGTTAGAAATACCCTCCATTACAACACCAATCGATTCAAAAGTTGCAATCGATACTCAGTCTCTGAACTTTTGCCATTTTGGGGTGTGATATCCTTGGTTTGTTTCCTCCCTCAAAATTGTAGCGAAAATTCATTTTGGTCTCTGGGGATTATTTCTCCAAGTTGATTGAGGCAAAATCTCTTGCCCGAATTACCACAAAATTTGACTGAAATGTTATTTTGACAGACAACATCTGCCGGTATGACTTTCATTAATATTCGTTACTAACAATGAGACCCAATTTGTTGATAGGAGTGTAAGAGATTTATGCCAAAGTCAATGAATAAAACTAAAATTTATGTATGTGCACTACCCTCGAACGAACATACAAGTAGAGACTGCAAACAGAA